GACGGTGGTCAATGCCACTAAAATTTAATCTTAAATAAAAAGAAAAGATTAATAAGAAAAACTATTTATATTTAAATTTATAATTTGTAATTAGATAAGATAAACTATAAGCTAAAATTTAATGTTTTTTTTACTATTAATATAAATGTCTATCTGATGCTTGAGACTGAGAGTTGATTAGGTATTACTACATAAAATTAAGAGTATAAAAAAAAAGGAAAAAAAAAACTTATTACTGGAAAAGACAAGAAATCCAAACAGAAGTTGGTGCCTTTTTGTATAAATAGCATAGAAGTAGTGTGTTGGAGTCACAAAGCTTGAGTGTATTAAGAGATGGATTGTAAATGGTTTCGGGTGTTCTTAATGATGTTGGTTTCTTTAGAGAGGGGTGTTGGGAGGAAGAGAGAACTGCTCTCTTGCAACTTAAACATTTCTTCCCTAATCATTATGGGTATCTTTACAATGGGTGGAGAATTCAGAGTGTTGTAGATGGGAACGTGTTATGTGTGACAATAACACTGGAAGTCATTGAACTCGATCTTGGATGTAAGGATTTGAATTTGGGAGAGTGGTATCTAATGCTTCTTTGTTTTCTCCCTTCCAACAGCTACAATCTTTAATTAAGGGCAACAATATAGCTGGTTGTATTGAGAACGCAAGGTCAATTGTCTTCTCCCTTTAACTTAATTTATTTCTATATTTAGGTTTATGTTTAATTTCCAGTAAATTATTTGCATCTAGCAGTACCATATGATTTAATAAATGATTCACTATTACAAATTCCTCAAAATCTCTCATTTACTATTAAACTTGAGGATTTCAACATTCATGGACTTGTTAATTTTTGATTATTGATTTATGTTTTCAATATTTTGTGGTAATTTGTGATATATTATATGATAATATGCATGAAGCAATTTATTCGCTTGAAAATGATTTAGTATTTACAGGTTTTGAGAGGCTATCAGGTTAAGTAACTGAAGGAATTGAATTTAAATGTCAACAACTTCAACAATAGATCTTATCATATCTAGTTGGTCTCCTCATTAAAGTATTTGTATCTATATGAAAATAGATTTAAAGGAGCTGTTAATATTGAAGGTAATAAGACTAGCTTCTCATCTTAATTTCAACCATTAATTGTTTGTGAATTTCTAATAAACTGGGTTTAAATTATATATATAAAAGAGTTTAACATTGTGAAATTGTTTAATCTTTTTCAGGGTACATTCTTTGACAGAAGTGTGGATATGAGACTCCAATAAGATTGAGTATTTTGTTACCCCAAAGGTAATAAGTAATATATTTGTGACATGATCACAATGTTACACGCTTATTTGGAGTAAGTACAAGTCTCATCAAACCACATAGTTTTTTCCCAAACAAACATATCACAACCGTTTAAAAACGTCTCAGTATTTATAAAACCAGCAAAAGCCCCACTTATTGTCTCGTGCCTGTCAGATTCAGTTTTGAAAACCAGTCAGCAGAAAATGTTTCACTTATTACCAGAACACCACACAATATACTACTTTTTAATGGGTATGAACTTATGAACTAAACAAGGAGGTTATTTAGGAATGATGTAGAATAGAATAATAAGCCAAAGTGCAAGCATTATGAGACATTCACGCTCCTTTGAAGGGAGTGGACCACACATCACCAACTAAGATTGCAAAGCCTTTTTAAGGTTGAAAATTCCCATTTTCACCTGTTAGAAGATTTTTAATGAAATCAAATTGTAGAAATTAAGATTTTAAATAATTATAAATATCTTAAAATTCTTCACTAGTTCACTCCTATAATAACATCTTATTCGGATATAAACTGAATAATTGAATGGGTTTATACAATATCAAGGTAATTTAGCTAGCTCTCATTCTCACAATTTCAACGTTTTTTTTTTTTTTTTTCTTTTTTTTTTTTTTTTTTTTGTGAATTTACAATATAATTGGACTTTTTAGATTAAATATGAAACATTTTTTTTGGGAAATTTTTTGACTATTTCAGGTTTGAATAACTTGGAGGTTTTGATTTAGTACTAACAACCTAAACAATAGCATATTATTTCTTGGGTATCTCTCTTCATTAAAATCTTTGAATCTGAATATACTGGATTGACGGGATGCTGATGTTCAGGAGTTTGATCATTCCTCATGTCTTTTAATGATAAATTTTTATTAAGTTTTTAATTTTTTCCTGCGGACAATCCTTGAAAAACTTAGAGGAGCTATACATGGGTTGGAATAGGATTGACAAATTTGGTCAACTCTAAAGTAGTCAATTCATTTCATCACACAAGGCCCATAACCAAACTTAAGTAATAATATTTAATGACTTTATTTCTAATCAAATTCATTTCATCAACACAATCTTTGAGAATGTTATGCTAGTGATGCCCCAGCTATGTAAAATTATTTTTACATTATCATTTTCTAAAATTAAAATGAAAAATCAATTATATATTGTGGTATTGAAAACAGTTTGTCGTAATTATGAAATAGGTATAATTGAATATTTAGTATATTTTAAAATAAATGCATTTGACAATTTTAACTTGAAAATGTAGGGTATTTTTGTTTATTTAAAAAAAAAAATATTTTCTAAGTACTATAAATATATTTTGAAAATTACGAACTTAATCTGAGCTTAATTCTTTTTTTTTTGAAAAAAAAAATCTGAATCTTGATTTCCAAACTGTCTAGCAAAAAATTTTTTTTTATTTTTCTAAATTCAAAAAATAAATTATTTTTTATGAAAAAAGACTAAGTGAATACTAGAACCATTAAAACCAAAGCATTAATAAAAAATTTGAAAATATAATTCTTGAGGTTAATACTAATTCTTTTTATAAAAGAAAAAATCTGTTTCATAAGTCTTATACTATAGCAATAAATTTTCTAATTTTCTGTAAATTCATAAATCTTTATACTCAAAATTATATATGAAAGAATTTAACCTTGTGAAATTGTTAATCTTTCTTTGGGTTACATTCTTTGAAAAAGTTGGACCATGACCTGTAATGAGATTGACCAATTGTCAGCCCCAAGGTTTAATTAGGAGACTTTTAACTTTGTGTGAGACTTATATAAAGAAATATCTAGAATAGTTTTATAAAATATTATTTTATAATTTTCTTAAATAAAAATGAAAAATATTTTGTTCATGTTAATGAATTTTTACATTTGACTGAAAATTGCAGGGAAAAAAGGATTTATCATGTTCTGATATTTTTTTTTGTTAAATTCCAAATAAAATTCTTGAGTTCAATTTTTTTTTTAAAAAAAAAATTCTCTAAATCTTTATTTTCAAATACACTTTCTAGTTTATTTTTAGTTTTTTAAATTACAAAATAAGAATGATTTGAAAGAAAGAAAAAATGAAGTTGTGATTGTTTTATAATTTAATTAATCCAAAAAAAAATTTTATATTGTATTTACTAATTTATCCTTATATATTAATGAATTATATATAGCCATTATATCATTATATATAATCGTTTTAGTATTACATATTAATTGACGTAATATGGCTCTTGTATTAAAATCTTTATTTTAGGCCACATTTAATTAATTGACAATATTAAGGCAGTATTATTACTTTATTATGAATATTATATTATTTAAACATTAATTATAAGTTAATTATAATATTAATAGAAAATATAAACATATTCTTAAATATAAATATAAACAAGTAATTTGACTTTTAAAATTAATATATGAAACAGTTTACTCTTGTAAATTGTTTGACTATTTTCATGTTGAGTAATTTGGAGGTTATGGATTTAAGTGGTAACAACCTCAGCAATAGCATATTATCATCTTGATGGATTAAAATTTTCTTCATTAAAATCTTTGTATTCTAAGAGATATGGATTGAATGGAACTGTTGATGTTGAAGGTAAGTTTGATAAAATTCCTAATGTCTTCTTATGATCAATTTTTAATTAACTCTGTTTCATTTTTCTAATTATGTTCCTTGAAAACTTAGAGGAGTTGTACATGGGACGGGAATAAGATGACAAATTTGTCAATTCCAAGGTATTCCATCACTAAACTTTAATAATATTAATCAATTAATTTATAAACTCTCAAATTCTACCGATGAGTGTATTTGAAAACAGTTTTCATATTAATGAAATATTAAATAAATAGTAATGCTACAATAGGTATATTTACAAATTAAAAAGAAATTCTTGAGTTTAATTTTCTTTTTTCTTTTTTAAGAAAAAAAAGTTCATCAAATCTTGATTCACAAACTGTCTAGCAAAAAAATTTTTCTTTTTAAATTCGAAAAATAGAGAATTATTTTTATTAAGAGAAAGACACAAGTTAGTTTCTATAACCATTAAGCCCATAATGTTATTTGTATGTTTTTAGTTCTCTTTTTATTTTTTTTCAAAATGCACAGCACAATTTTTGAGGTTAATATATTTCTTTTTATAAAAGAAAAAATTGTGTTTCGTAAATCTTTGTACTCCAGCTGTAAAAACATATTATTTTATTTTATTTTATTTTATTTGCAAAATATGGAATTGAGTTTTAGGAAAAAATGAATTCCTTTGTAAAATCTATTCCTTGCATTACATTGAAGACTGTTCATTATAATTCAGTTTTTTAACTTACAGATTATAGAGGCTTGAAGAAGTTGAATACCCTTTCTCTACAGAGTGGTATTGAAACCATTGATGCAACTATTTTTCTACAGTCAACATTGAGGTTGTTCCCATTCTAAAGACACTTGACCTTTCATATAATGTTTTAATTCGAACAATGATTACTCAAGGTAAGAAATAAGTTAAGTTATGTGTTGAAATAAAGTTGTTGACAATTTGTCAATACTTACCACATCATTTAATTTGTCTTGCTTAACAGAGTTGCATAATTTGAACCATTGGAAGAATTGAACTTGGATGAGTCAAAGCTCCATATAAGTTTCTACAAACTGTTGCAACTTGTGCTTCACTGAAACATTTGTCAATGATCGGTTGTAACTCAATGGCATCTCAGAAGTTCAAGGTAAATTCAAGATTAGTTTCATTTGCATAATTTTATATAAGATAATGTTTAAACTTAATCCTAGATATTAAAATTTGTTTTCAATTTGGGGAGAAACACCTCGTATTGTTCTCATGATTAATAGTTATCAATAAAAATTTTGTATATATAGAAATTATATTCAAGTTAGATGCAGAAAAAAAATGAAATTTACAAAAATGAGATCAAATATTAATCTATGCATATTGAAAATTAATTTTCTTTTTTATATATATTCTAGATTTGGGAATTCTAAAAATAGATCAATATTTATATTTAATGGAGCAGACTTTTAATTAGCCTTAAATGTGGCCATAAAATATTGAAAGGGTAGTAACTTTCCTCTTTTGGAATGGATTGGATTGAATTCCTTTTACTGTTTAATCCACCTCATTTATCTTTAAAAATAACAAAAATGTGTAGTATTCTACAAATTTTGAACTTTATTCTAGTTACTAAAATTTCTTTCAATAGTAGATAAAAAACACTTGCCGGTGCTCTTAATGATTTATCAGCTATGAACAAATTTTATATGCATAGAATATTGATGTTCAATCAAAGTTAGATAAGGAGAAAATGAATGAATATAATGTATATCAATGGTAATTCTTGTCTATTAAACTTTGGGTAAGAAATTCCGAGAATATTTATATTTATATTTAAGAGAGTAAGCATTACCTACCCTAAAGTCTAAATCTTTGCCATACGATATCTAAGTGGAACTTTACCATTCAAGTCCACCCTATTTATCTTAAGAAGAATTTAATACTTTTAGAAAAGTTAATATGATTTTAATATGAGTAGTTTCATAATTTCAAATTTTGGAACATTTTGCTCATGATATTACAAAAATCATGTCAATATTGTAGGTCCTATTAATTTCAAGAGTTAGAAGTTTATTATGAACGGACTACTTTCAACAATAGTTTCGTCAAATCATTAGACCGATAGCTACTCTGAAGAAGTTATCATTGCAGAATGGTGGAGCAATGGCACATTACATGATCAAGGTTAGTGATTTCTCCCCGTCTTTTTCTCTTCCATGCTCATGACTTTTTTTTTTCTTTTATGATTCTTATGCTTTATTTTATTATTTTTTTATTAGCATGATGTCATAATTGCATTTATGTTATAAAGTTAGATAAAAAATTTAAAAATTATAACGATATCTAAAATATACGTAGCTCATAAATTGACCGTATCAAAATACCATTTGTTCCAATAATTGTAGTTGTTTAAAAAATTATGGAATATCTAGAAATTACACAAAGTCTGATTTTCATTATCATAACCAATAAAGAAAAAATAAGTTGATCCTTTTCTTAGATAAAAAATAAAGAAAACAATTTACAAATATTATGATTTATTACAAAATCACTTGCATTTTTAGGCTGAAGTGAAATTAAAAAGTGAGAAATTGACATTAGACATTCATATCTCAGCTATAATGCTTTACGGATACTTTGCCTTCGTGCTTAGCCATAATTTTTGATAATTCAAGGAAATGTTTTATTCAGGTTGTGTGAGATGGTGCATTTGAAGAGTTAGATATTAGCTATAATGCTTACGGATACATTGTCTCCGTGCTTAGCCAATTTGACTTCACTTCAATCATTAGATATATCTTCCAATCAAATTATTGGAAACCTCTCAGGTTTGTGTGAGATGGTGCATCTAGAAGAGTATATATCAGCTATAATGCTTTAGGGGATACATTGCCTCCGATGCTTAGCCAATTTGACTTCACTTCAATCTGATATTCTTCCAATCAAATTATGGAAACCTCTAGTTTGTGAGTGGTGCATCTAGAAGAGTTTATATCAGCTATAATGCTTTAGGGATACATTGCCTCCATGCTTAGCCAATTTGACTTCACTTCATTATTAGATATATCTTCCAATCAAATTCTTGAAACCTTTCAGTTTGTGTGAGATGGTGCATCTGGAAGAGTTAAATATTGGCTATAATGCTTTACGGGATACATGCCTTCATGCTTAGCCAATTTGGACTTCACTCAATGTTAGATATATCTTCAAGCAAATTTTGGAACATCTCTTCATCTCCCCTTAGATATGATATCTCTTAGAGTCCTCCGAAATTTCAAACAATCCTCCAAATCCCAATTTCACTATCACCACTCTACAACCTATCAAAATCATAGAATTCGAGAGCTACAATAACCAGATGTATAGAACAATGCCACATTCTTTGACCCCAAAATTCCAATTAAATTACATCCTTTGTCTGGTTATGGATATGGTGCTACATTTCCGAGATTTCTTTATCATCAATATGATTTGCAGAAGTTGATCTGTCTGACATCAATTGAATGGAGAATTCCCAAATTGGTTGATAAGAACAATACAAAATTGGAAGACTTTATCTATCAAATAATTCTCTTTCTGGGCTTTTTTTTAGTGCCAACACATTTCACAGAATTTAACAACATTAGATATCTCCATCAATTCCTTCAGTGGACAAATTCCATTGAAGTTGGCGCATTTTTCCCGAGTCTATGTCGTTAAACATTTCCAGAAATGCTTGAATGGCAGCATTCCCTCTTCTTTGGAGATATGAGCTCATTGGAAAGGTTGGATCTATACACAATCAGTTGTTGGTGAAATACCTGAGCACTTAATATAGGTTGTTTTTTATCTAAGATATCTTGTGTTAAAACAATAGTTTGGACGGTCCTGTATTCTCCCAAAATAATTAACTTGACAAACTTGGTGTCGTTTATACCGGATAGTAACTAACTTCATTGGAAAGATCCTATAAATGTCTCTAATTGTTTCACTATGTCGAGTGAGCTGTGAGCTGTCGTCCTGACTGTCCAGTTATATGCCAGTGAAGCTGTGTAGTGATAAAAGTTCACGTGGGATATGAAACATTCTGGTTCTTTTGAGATTGAAGAAAGGAAGGAAAAAGAGTCAAACAGAGAGGTAAAGAAGTTAATTTGCGAATCTGTGTGTTCTTTTTTGCAAAGAAGATTAAATTATAATATCTATATCACTTTTTATGTCAGCCCTGAAATATCAAAGTCTGGCAAAACCAGCCACTTCAGGTACAGTAAAATTGACTATCATATTGGCGTGGCATTTCCAAAATGATGGTAACCCTGCAAAACTAAAATATATTTTAAAATATAGTACTTACAGAAAAAAATAATATTTGGCATCTAGGAAAACAATATACTTTTACGTCAATTTGAATTAATTAAGCCAAAATAAGCATTAAAGAAAAACACAATCGATTACAAAAACACGAGATAAAACTAACAAGTGTTTCACTCGAGTGTCTCTCTGAAGATAGATGTACAAGAAGCAAGTTGTACATGCATCATTAGGCAATCGGGACTTTGTTTCGGGTCTAAATTTGATCATCACCTCAGTATCTATTTCAGCTTTGTTATGTTCAGCCCCGAAAATATCAGTCATGGCAAAACCAATTACTTCCGGTTCAGTAAATACACTTCACATGAGCATAAGGACCAAAGGCCCAACTGTTGCATGTTCCAAAAGATGGTAAACCCTGCAAACTAAAATATATTTAAAAATATAGTACTTACAGACAAAAAAGTATTTGGCATCTGAGGAAAAACCAATATACTTTTAATGTCCATTTGAATTAATTAAAGCCAAAACAAGCTTTACATCAACTCTTCTTTGAGTGCAGAAAATAAATTTCACAACTACAATTACCTTTAACCCTGCCAAAATTGATATGATATACAAACTGAATTTTTTCCAGGTGAGCAGCTACAAAACCCAAACCAAGTGGTAGATAGAAATAGCAACCACAGAAGAAGAAATACTGTAGACTCACACCCTCCCTTTGTGAAGATATTCTCGAATTGTAGTAACCAAACCCTAGGGATCGAAGAGAAGGACATACCTATTAATGAAAAACAGAGAATCTTTTCTTACTTCTTAACAGAAAAGACCTTTTTATATGTACAAAATGGTGATCCAAGTGAAAAAGGATCTTGATCATGTGATTGTACAGAAAACTAACCAATAAAGGAAAAGATGTTGTCGGATCAACGCATCTTCAGCACTATTTTTACTAACAACTGAACTCTTCCTGAAGTCAGAACAACTAAAAGCGGGAGAATTTCAAACGGCGGATAACTTCTTTTAACCAAAGTTTGCCAATAACAGAGTACAAACAAAAGCTTCATTTCTTTACGTCAGTTCCCTTTTTATAACAGCAGCATTAGTCCTTTTGGATTTAATTTTGAGCAGCTTGCTCATGTCCTAATTGTCCCTCAAGCAAATCAAAATTGACTTCAGACTTAGCCAAAGAAAGATAACACACTTCCATCATAAAATACCAGTACTTCAGTTTCTATCAAAATACAATATCACTCAGTAAACTTCAACCCAATTATATAAAAAAAAAAAAAAAAAAAAAAATCCTTACACTTCTTATAAAAAAAACACCAACCTGCAGTAGCAATACACATCAGGTTACCAATACTTTAACTTCTATCAAACATACCAAAGAACTTCAATCTCCTAATTAATCCTTAACTTCTTATCAAAAATACCAATATTCAGTAGCAATTAACACACACCATACTTCAACTTCTATCATCACACCACAAGACTTCAATCTTCTTATCAAACACACTAAACACTGCATCATAATCACCATATCAAACCACAATACTACATCAACAACACTGCAAGTGTTTCAAAACTACATCAGCAACAATCTTGTATCAACACACCAAATTCCTTCTTCAACTTCTTATTAATCATAAATCTTGTTCCTCAAAGCACGTTTGGATGACTGTAACATCGTCCTCAGATGAACTTGCATTTGAGGAGACAAAGAAGACTCATCAAATTAAAAGAAGGGGAAGTAGAACACCTGAACAGGAAGAATGGTGAAGATCTCTTAACCACTAAACCGAGGACCGGAGAGTGGTAGTAGGAAGATCAGCAGTTTGAAACTTATAGAGACATATGAACAGTCAG